TTTTATTTTACATGTATGGATGTTTTGCCTGCATGTATGTATGTATACTGGATGTGTCATTGCTTTTGGAAAAAGGTGTTGGATTACTTGGTACTAGAGCTACTTATGATTGTGGGCTGCTGCATGTAGGTGCTGGGAATGGGGAACAAGGGTCTTCTGGAAGAGCAGCCAGTGGTCTTAACCCATGAGCCTGGGTTAGGCTGACAAAGACTTTATTTTTTTCAGAAGGTGCCTGGAAATCTAAGTTGGCCTTCTGTGTAGTTTTTGACAGATTGCAATCTAGAAACTGATAGACATTTCTCAGCTGCATGAGTGAGAAGGATAACCAGAGGCTTCTCCTTGAAGACAGAAAAGGGACAGCTCTTTATGTCTTCTCTAAAGTCCTTTCTGCAAAGTTCTGAAAGGCATAAACATGTAGATATTTTAAAAAGTGATAAAAATAATAGTAAATAAAAGTTGATTGACAAAAGGACATGCTTCCTGAACGAAGAAGTTTTAGTGATTCTGGGAAGTGGAAGAATAAAAGCCCCGCTCCCCCAAAACCCAACAGAAAACAACAGAAGTCACGGAGCAAGACAAAATGGGAGACATGGAGGTGGAAACAGATGTGGATTAAGAAGAGACCACAGAATATTCTGAAGCAGCACAAGGTGAGTTGTAAGTACACCCTCACTGTGCATCCTGTGTGGAGAGAAAAATGTGAATTTTTAGGCCTTTTTTTTGGGGAGATACTTGCTTTGAATATTCCCCTAAGCAAAGTTGGAATTGCGGGTTACAGGCAGAAGTTGATTTTTTTTAGTTGAATTTCTTTTCTTTTCCTGTTTTTTTTTAAAACATTCTTCGTGAATGCAAATTTGTACTATTTGATTATTGATTAGTGGAAAGTTTTGTTATATGTATAAAATATTATTGCAAAGATCCACCCTGCCTCAAATAAACCAGAAACACAAAAATTGGTGAGGCTGATACAGTGGCTTAGTGTGTTACTGTGTGTACCACGAAGTCTGATGGACCAAATTTGATCCCTTGAGCCAACATGGTAGAAGAAAAGGGTTGACTCTAGCAAGCTGTTCTCTGACATCCACACAAGTACTGTGGCACAAACATGCTTGCAGACAGACAGATAGCCAGACAGACAGACAGACAGACACACACACACACATACACAGACTCACAACACTAAAGAACAATTAAAACAAAACAAAATAGGTGGAAGCAGTAACTCATTAATTAGGACCAATACACAGCTTTGATATTTAGATAAGGGAACATATACAAGATAGTCTATTTGGTATAGCATTTTAAGGAAGAAAGGAATAGAAGAGAAGAGAAGAAAAGAGAAGAAAAGAGAAGAAAAGAGAATTTTATGGAAGGTTAGATCCAGAAGATATCAGAGAAATCAGAGTGCTAGTTGAGGAATATGCATTAAAACAGTCTTCCTGGGTACTTATATATCAGATAGGTGACATATAATCTTGGTACTTATATATCAGATAGGTGACATATAATCTATCAAAGCCCCTGCTTCATGCAAAGTAGGTAATGATATTACAGGCAGGATAATGGTCATTCTTGTATGGGGAACCCTATGGCCTCAGGGAAAAGCGCTGCATCATTGATAGCTTGTGATCCTGTTTTTTTTTTTTTTGATGCTATAATCTCTTCAAACATGACAAACTTATTAGTTCCATACATGCAAAGATAAAGATCTCAACAATAGTAATTTTGAGTAGCCATTGGTTGCGAGTCTGCTCACATTGAGTGCTAAGCAAAGTATTTGAGCTATGAAAACACTAGTGTTTGCTTTTAATTTTTAGTTTTCCTCTATATATTATTTTTACCCAAGTTCCATTACAATTTTGTTTTAGCATTTCATTTAACTAGAGTCAGAGCCTTTAATATCCTAGGCTGGCCTTGGACTTATTATCTTGCCCAGGCTGGCCTTGAACTTAAGGTTCTGAGGTTACCAGCAGGCCACACCATTCCTGGTTTCTGAAGTTCAGGGGATCAAACACAGGGCTTTGTACAAGCTGAACAAGCACTCCACCAATGGAGACCCATCTGAGGAAAAGTAGAGATTATTTTCCTAAATATTAGTCCTCTCAGAAGGACAAGCAAACCTTTACCATATCTTCTGGTAACTTCTGTGTAAATCTATTGCAGCCCCTGTACTCTACTACACAACTGCAGTCCTTGGATATTGCCATTTATAATGGTTTCCTCCAGGAGCTATAAGTGCATCAAAAACAGAAATTTTGTCTCTGACCATTGCCTTTCCATTGTTAACATGAGGCTGGCTCTTTGGAGTAAGGGTCTTGTAATAGAAGATATAAAAAGTTGCTTGGATTTGCAGACGTGGGGTGGGGATTATTCCAAAGATAACTACAAAGTAGATCACAACTATTCAAAACCGAACACATATGCTAGCAGTCAGTAGATCACATGAAAACATAGGTGGCAGGATATCGTGATTTAAAGATTTAAGTAGCATTAGGGCAGAGGAGTAAGGGAGAGTAGGAGGTGGGACCGTGTCAGTTAGGACATGTGAGAAACCTACTACTTGTAAACAAATTAAATAAATTTGAGTTTTAAAAAGGTGTTTGATACTTTGCATGAGTACATAATGACTCTCCAAGCACACATGGGATAATACATGCAAATATCATGTCAGGATTTACTTATGAGGTCAGGAAGGCCCTGAAAGCCCCCAAAACAACACAAGTTATTGCCATTGCTCTTGGTCGCTCACCATAAGTAGATGGCAAGATGTTATTGAAGATATAATACATTTTATTTGTAGAACGTAGATAAACCAAATTGGAACTGCCTAGAGAACTCTGATGGCTAGAATGCCAGAAGGTACTATGTAGGCCAAAGGAGAAAAGTCATTAGTAGTCTTATGTAGCAGTGATTCCTTTTTATAATTAATTAAGTCATCAGTTATTTAATCATTTTTCTCAGCCCAATCATAGTTAATCCTGCCTCTTTCTTCTCTTCCCAGTTCCTACTCCAACATCCCACTCCCACCCTGCATTCACTCCTTCCCCTTCAGGATAGTACAGGCCTTCCATTTGCATCAGCCACCATGGGATATCAAGCTGGTGGAAGACAGGTACCTTCTCTCCTACTAAGACTAGATGAGACAACTCAGCAGGTGGAAAAGGGTCCCAAGAGCAGGCAACAGAGTCAGAGACAGCCCTTGCTCTCATTGTTAGGAGTCCCACAAGAAGACTAAGCCACACAGCTGCAACACATGCCGAGGGTCCAGATGAGTTCCATGCAAGTTCTTTGGTTGGCAGTTCAGTCACAGTGAACCCCCATAAGCCAAGGTCAATTGACTGTGTGTTTTTTGATTGTGTTCATGGTCCTCTCTGCTATAATCCTTCCTCCTTTTTTTCCGCAAGATTTCCTTAAGTCTGTCTAATGTTTGGCTATGCATCATCTGTGCATCTCTTCCATCAGTTGCTGGGTAAAGCCTCTCAAAACAGTGATTTCTAAGTGCCACAATATCAACCTTAGGCAAGATGCACCTACGTTTGTTATAGTGTCAGAGAGGTTATAGTGGTTAACTAATTTATGCCTGGTACTATAAACCTTGCCAAGAGTCCATAACAGGGGAGGTCGTAGGCTCTACTTCAGTGATTCTCAACTTTCCTAATGATGTGCTCCATTGATACAGTTCCTCATGTTGTGGTGACTTCCAAACATAAAATCATTTTTGTTGATTTTCGTAACTGTACTTTTGCTGGTGTTATAAATTGTAATGTAATTATTGTGTTTTCCATTGGTCTTCTGGGGGTTGTGGCCCACAGGTTGAGAACCAATGCTTTAGGGGAATGTACTACTCTTGTTTACTAAACTGACATCAAACAGCATTCACATTTGTATTTGTAGATTAAAACACACCAGTAGACATTATCAAAAAGTAGAATGGTAAACATAATTTCTTCTCTCACTAACATTCAAGTGACACATGGATACCATCTGCTCTTGCTTTCTTTGATTTATTTTCCTGATAAAATAAAGAGGAAATTTTCTTCTTTCCTCTTGTTCTTCTGCTCTTCCTCTTCTTCTAATTCTGTTTCTGATTCTGATTAATCTTTTGCTTCTTTTTCTGCACCACCACTACCACCACCACCACCACTACCACCACCACCACCACCACCACCACAGCCACCATCACCACCATCATCATCAATACCACCACCACTACTATCACCACCACCATCACTATCATCACCACCACCAAACCACCATCACTACCACCACCAAAATCATCATCATTATTGGCACAAAGTCACTACACTATAAAAGAGAGGCTGTCTTCAATTTTAAGAAACATATTTTTAGTCACAAAAATAGTCAATAGCTCCTACCTCCACACAAAGAGCTGTATGTAACTCAAGATTGGCACTATGTTCTATTGTTACTGGAACTTTAATTTTGAGCATAGATACACACAAAAGATCATAAAGTCAGAAAAGCCATCTGGTAGTGATTTAGGGAGACTAAATTCCTCACCCATAGAGTGTCTGAGTTTTAGAATTGAGAATTTTAGAGTTGTCTTTGTCCTTTGCTTGGATCCTGCCAACAATTCAGTCTCTTTACAATGAATTCTTGTTTATTTTAGTTGGTTTCTGTTCTAGTAGTCAAAATTTCAGGCCACATTCTAGGGTTTTCTGCTTGCATATGGTCAGCTGTTAGAGTTTTACTCCATTACATATTTACCTTCATTCAAATTCTTACCTTCTTGCTGTATCATCTGAGTTCAGACTGCCCTACTTGTGTCTGCTCATACTGCATCCAGTCAGTGTTATAGTGATGTCATGTTATAGAATTATGTCCTCCTAGACCTGTTGCAGAGGTGGGCAGGGGGAGAGTGAGTGTCTGGGTCTCAGGTACCACTGTCAACAATCAGTGAGGATACCACTTGACCAATCAATTTATTACATGATCAATCAATATAAATGAAGAATAATTTATTTTGTTTTACAGTCTGAGAGGATATAGTCCATCATATATGTGTATCCTGCACCCATAAACATCGTTAAACACAATTAGGAAAGCTGACAGGAGTAAATGGCAGGGGTGGACACATGGTGCTGGGAGGAGTGTAGAGGAGAGTGCTTGAGTTTCCTAGTGAGGTTGAGATGAGAAGAGCATCCTAACTTCCACAGATATGCTTCTCTCTGCTGAGAAAAATGGAAGCTGACATCTCAGGGCAATTCTTTGTCAGAAATACACATCTGCATGAAGAGAAGAGAGTTAAAAATTTAATCTGCAAAGCTATTTAGAGAGTGGATAGGCCTTGACAGGCCTCCCAAATGTATTCCAAGAACAAGAAGAGTGGATTCATGAAATAAAAAGCTGTTGCGGCAAGCAAAATGAAACTAAGCTTTCTTGACAGAATCAGTTTGCCAAATGACTTTAGAATTGCATGGTCTTGTCCTTTTCTTTTTTTCCTGTTAAAAATACCCTAAATGTATAGGAGAAACTTTTAGAATTACATGGTACCTTTAAAGAACACCAATGTAATATACTTATTATTACTCTAGAATGAGACACTTGAAACAAAATTAGAAAACAATGAACTCACTAAGTCATTGGGAATATTGGCAAGGATTCCTGAGGCATCAATCACAAATGACTCAGAGTGCTCCAACTATCACTCAGTACCGGAAATAGTGCTTTCAACCTATGAAATAAAACAACAGAAACCAACTCCAGGACAATATGTTAGCTGAACTCTGTCCTCATTGGTGCTCTCTACTATAGAAAGTTTACATTTATAGTCTAATCTCTAGTTACTGCTGGCATAAGGAAAATGCATCACGTTTTTTGCTGACTTATACTTGGCATGGGCTTTCCTTGTGTTTGTAAATGCACACTGATTGTTACTGAAGGATAATGTGAACTCAGATATATATATATATATATATATATATATCTTTTATTTTTGTCCTTCATAAGTTGTTCTTAGGGCAAGCTGATCCTCATTACCAGATGGTTAAGAAAACAAAACTCAGTGTCATGTGAAATTTTAGACAGAGATATAGATAGTTGCTTAAGACTGAATATTTTACCAAATAGTTTTGATGCATCAACAAAATTCTGGAATTCACTGCTACTTTGTCAGTTCCAAATTTTAAATGTGAGGAGAACACAGACTGGGTGGGCAAAAGCATGCCACTCTATCAGCCTTCTTGCCATTAATATTGTAGAATTTCTATCCATTAAAGTCCTAACAACTACTCAAGCATAGAGGTTAAGCCTTAACATATGAGTCTAATAAAACACTGCTTTAAATCTTTAATACGTAGGACCTAGCAATGGATTTCATTCATTTAAAGTATGAACTTTTAGACTATACATTTTGCGTTTTTTTTGCCTTTCAATACTGTCATGTCTACTTGTCTACTTTTCTTCACCAATTATGTTTCTTGTTAGTGAGTTGTGGGCTATCTTACCCTCTTTTTTTTGAGACAGGGTTTCTCTGTAGCTTTGGAGCCTGTCCTGGAGCTAGCTCTTGTAGAGCAGGCTGGTCTCAAACTCACAGAGATCTGCCTGCCTCTGTCTCCCAAATGCTGGGATTAAAGGCATGCACCACCACTGCCCAGCATGTCTTGTCCTCTTGAACAAGAATGAAGTTGAGGACCAACACTCAAGGTTGTGCTCTCATGCACACTAAGGCATAAAGCCCACTCACAAAACCATTCATATATTCATAAACATCGTTAAAAACAACACACAGCTAATGAAATAGAAGGATTAAGATTAATCTCATTGTAATAGAGCTATGCTTTTTCCTTCCTTTGATATACAAAATTGCAATATGAATTGTGTGTATTTCCCCACAATACAATAAAATTAGCTGTGATCATATTACTTACTTTTACCAATGAGATATGAATAGAAGTGATGTGTAATCTCTCCCAGGAAGAAAGTATTAGAGCAGGCTTCTGATGGGTGACATCCTTCTGTATATATGTTTCTCTTGTTAGTTGATGAAAAACATGGATTAAACATTAGAATTTACAGAAGTGTATTTGTCTCGTTATAACTGCAACACTTTCAGTAGTTAAAGAAGTTCTAGCTATACTAACAGTGCTAACAGTGGATATTAAGCATAAGCCAAGACTCCCAGACTAATCAGGGTATGTGATCACTTGATATTCAATAGAAAGTCCTGTTATGAATTCTTGTTCATTTGTGAGCATATTTTACTTGTTTTCTTTTTTAGCAAACATGATGCATTTGTATTCATCTCACATTTGCAAGCCAGAGTACATGAATATACATGGATATAAATATAGGATTAAATTAAACACTGGGTACTTTTCCTCAGATGGAGCCAAAACAACTGTTGCAATAGGGAAAAAATCCATCCTGTCTTTACAGTGTTCTGCACAGTTTTTGCTGTTAGGTTGATGTGCAATTCATTATCAAACTCATATTTCATGCAGTATCAATATTTTGAGGTCTTATTGTATATACTCTATCAATTTTGTTATGGCTGTACTCATTATTACAGAACACTTTTCAACATTAGACATAGACATGATAGTCCTCCAAAAATTTATATTCAAAAGTACATTTCATGTTTAAGTTGCTTTCTACTATAAGATACACATCAAAGGGGATACTCTTTATATCAAAAGGATCACAGTTCCTGAGACACACTCTCTTTCTTCTTTGTTTTCTTTTGCTCTTCCTCCACTTTCCATTGCAGTGTTCTGTTACCCAACAAACTAAACTCACTTCATTCTCTTTAGTATTGTTTACTCCTAAAAGAAAATGGTGCTAGAATTAGTTAATGAATTATCTGGAATCCCAATTTTTGTGAACACAAAGGTCAATTCTACAAGTTAAATATCTAGACTGCTTCAGTGTATGAATAGGAAATGATGAGCAGTCACTTGATACTGATCCAGAAGGAAGTATTGGCAGTGCGTTCCTGCTTGCACCTTCTTCTTCCCTTTGGAAGACATGTCTTTGATCATTGATAGGACTGTAAGATGCACAGTCTTTAAAACAGCCTGATGAAAGTGCATGAGAGAGATAGAGGGATGAGAGAGAGAGACAGAGAGAGAGAGAGAGAAAGAGAGAGGGAGGAAGGGAGGGAGGGAGGGAGGGAGGGAGGGAGGGAGGAAGGGAGAAACTGTCTTGAAGAAATGGATGGTTTCTTCAAGAACACCCAAGGCTTATGGGAAAGTTGACCATCATGGCTACCCAGGTCAACAGGACTTTAGGCCATCTCTAGGTCCTTCAGACAAGTTAAAGCAACTTTGGGCACTTTCAATATAGACACCAATTTCTTCCTTCACTTTTTTTTTGTCTTCATTTCTTGTTCCTGTAAAGAGTAAACTCATGAGTGGCTTCAGATGACTGAGACATTTCTTTGTAAGGATGTTGCCTCATGATCTGACCACAGATTCAATTCTTTAGAAACTCTAGTTCAGTCCCTGGACTCCAGGAGAGACTGCATAGACTATTAGTGGCAACTCCCTAGGTTTTAGGCCCCTTGCCATGATTTCCATGAATGATTTCTCAGTGTCAGGTTCAGTGTAGGGGGAATTACTTGGGTTATAGACTTATTTTCTGGTCCTCAACCAGTTACAGGATAGTACCCCTGACTTAGGTTTCTTTGGGCTAATTAGACTCTTAGTTTCTAAAATCCACAGCAATTTCTACCTCAAGAACACACTCTCTGCTTCTTAATCAAAGGAGAATATTATGCACCCACCACACCAATGACTTCTATTATGAATTTGTTTTGTGTTTTAGGATATTTCTTAAAAACCAGAAAAAATACAGAATTGCCCTGAAGTTTATAGTCTAACATGAGTAATTAAAAATTGTGGCTGGCCTTTCCAGTCAGTACACCTACAGTTTGCCTAGGAAAAAATTTCTTTTTGGACCCCACCCCTCCTCAGCCATAATATTGGGGAGGCATAAAATATCTTCTATTCAAGGATGTACAATTGAAATGTTGTAACTGGCAGAGATGGCTTCCTTTACAACAGTGACCATATAATTGGAATTTTATTAACATCAACCAAAACTAGCTACAAACTAATCTTCTCTTGGTACTTAATTATGTCATGGGGCAATGATCATAGTTTTCTCTTTAATAGCTTGAAAACTACTTACATAGATATATCATGTCTGTAATAATCAGATCATTTAGATTATTAATATGAAAAGGGAATTATTCAATTCAATTAGTAACTTTTGTACACTAATTAAGATAAATAATTTCATAGAAAATTCAATAAAATTCAGTAAGATTCAATTTCCTTAAGGTCCTGAGCCACCATGTGTCTTTGATTGTATAATCCAACACAAGAACCTTGAAATTTTATAATCTGATCTAGAAAGTGAGGTATGCCTCAGCTTCCTCATTTAATAACTTCCTCAACTAATGCACAAATCACAGGACAAAAGATAATGAATTTATATAACTTCTATTTTTGTTTGAAAGAACAAAGTGCAAACCAACCATATAGAATTTTAGATGCAGAGTTGGAGTTAGTCAAGAGTAGTTTATGTTTATGGTGTATTAGCTGTATTTTCCCTCCACTTAGCTTTGACTGTGTTTCTGTAACATGAGCACAAGTTAGCCTAGTCGGATGGGAACCATGCCTCATTCTGAGTTACCAGAGGATTCTCTGTAGTATTACCCATATAGTACAGCAGCTCTGATGGACAACATGAAAACTGTTGGAGGACAACATAAGAAACAAATAGAGCTTTGAGACCTACGTCATTGGCTGTATAGCCATGTCAGATAGCAACGGTAAATAAGTCAATGTCAAGAATACACAAATAAAAATTATGCCCATGACCCTATTAAAAAGTGGGCTGCAGAACTAAATAGAGAGTTTTCAATAGAGGAGTCTAAAATGGCTGAGAGGCACTTGAGAAAGTGCTCAACATCCTTAGCCATCCGGGAAATGCAAATCAAAACAACTCTCAGATACCATCTCACCCCTGTCAGAATGGCTAAAATCAAAAACACCAATGACAATTTATGCTGGAGAGGATGTGGTGAAAGGGGGACACTCCTCCATTGCTGGTGGGAGTGCCAACTGGTTCAGCCACTTTGGAAATCAGTGTGGAGATTCCTCAGAAAAATGGGAATAAACCTACCACAAGACCCAGCAACTCCACTCTTAGGCATATATCCAAAAGATGCCCATTCATATAACAAAGATGTCTGTTCCACTATGTTCATAGCAGCTTTATTTGTAATTGCCAGAACGTGGAAGCAACCTAGATGTCCCTCACCTGAAGAGTGGATAGAGAAAATGTGGTACATCTACACAATGGAGTACTATTCAGCAGAAAAAAATAATGGAATCATGAGATTCGCAGGCAAATGGATGACACTAGAAGAAACCATCCTGAGTGAGGTAACCCAGTCACAAAAAGAGAAACATGGCATGTACTCTCTCATATATGGATTTTAGACATAGATCTGGGGAGTGCCAGCCTACAATCCTATGGCCAGAGAGTCTGGAAAACAAACTTTATTTAGTGGCTGATCGAAGAAGAGGCAGACTCCCTTGGTTAAGTACGGAGCTGAACTCAAGAAAGCCAGTAACAGAGAGGGAGGACTGATGATCAAAGGGATTAAGACTGGGCTGGTTTAACCCCCAGAAACAGCTGACCAGACAAAGGTTAACTCTTGAATCCCAGGCATTAGCCTGGGAAGCCAGCATGAGACTGATCAAGACCCCCTGAATCTGGGTGTCAGTGAAGAGGCCTAGGGAATCTATTGAGCCTTGGGCAGCAGATCAGTACCCATCCCAAGTATACACACGGACTTTGGACTCCCATAGAACAATGTGAGGTGCACTCTCACCCTGAACTCTTGGGAAAGGGTCTAGGCCCTGCCCTATATGAAATGACAGACTATGGACACCCCCATGGAGGGCCTCACCCTCCCTGGAGAAATGAGGGGATAACGGGGGGGAGGGCACGGGAGGAAGGGAGGGAATGGGAGAGGGACCTGGAACTGACTTGTGAAGCAACCTTGATTCTTATCTAAATTTAAACTGGAAAATAAAATTTAAAAAAAAATTATGCCCATGTCTAAAATAGTAGTTCTTACTCTTGAAACCTAAGTTCTTCATAGTATGTATTTACTTATTGTTCGTTTTTTCAGTCCTGAGGTTAAGTTCATAGTCTTAGGACTGTTGGGCATGCACTCTAACAGAAAACTATATTTCCAGCCTGCTATATGTTTTTCAGTCTGCACCTTGAGATTATTAAGTGAAAATTATATGATTACCTTATTCATGTAATTAAAATAATAGAAGCCTAGTTATAATGTCTGAACCAAATTAAGAATTTTCTACCTAGTTATGTTTGTATCTTAGTATATAAAATCTTTGGTTCACCTATACCAGTAGACATATTAAGTTGATAAGCTGATATGGCTTGAGTATATCCTCTAAAGTTTATTTGTTGGAGATGTAATCTTGGGTGAAACAATATTGAGAGACGGTACATTTAAGCAATGCTTACAAACTTCACTGTGGTTATGTGTGCCAGGATCCTTAGTAACTCAAGAGGGTAAGGAAAGGTATTACCAGAATACATGAGTATGAGACCAGATTAGCCAAAATAGGAAAATCCTAGCAACAATTACAACAACAAAGCAGTAAACAAAACCCCTGGGTGATTAGGTCATGAGAACTTTACATTCATGAATGGATTCAGGCCATTATTATTGGAGGTGGCTTGTTATTAGGATAATGGTTTCCTGAAAGAAGAATGAGTACTTCTTCATCTGCAGTAATTGTTACACATACTCTCTTGCCCTTCCAGCAGTCACAGTGGAATGAAACAGCCAGAAGGTCATCACCAGATGTGGGCCTGTTTAGAATGCCATCTCAGGTATTCTGTTAGGGCAACACAAAATGGACTAAGACATCTACAGCTGTACAGAAACCACTGAATACAGAAGCTGCAGTTAGATTCTGAAAAAT